GACTGAGAATGCTGCTGTCAAAAGGTGCCCCCTGTGCTCATTCAACTAAAATGGAGGCACTCTAATACTGAAGGTGTGTTACTGGTCAGATCACCAGGTGAAAACAGAGGGGAAAAGCCTAAAAAGAAACCAAATGCATCCAACACATCTAATGATTGGTAAGCTGCAATATATTACATTTTTAATTTTGGGTTTAATACCGCTTTAATTTACCCCAGAACTTCTGTTCCCTGCACTATGGACACTATAGTTTTTTTTTGGTGTCCATATTAGAAGGAAGGAGCTAAAGGACTAAGGGGGTGAGACAATTAATTTTACCACTATTTGAAACATTTTTATTTGTAACTATTTATTTAGAGCCCCTGCGTGAAAATGACAAACAATCAACAAAAGAATAATTGTTCAAACTTCAAAGAAACTCATGTCTTTTTTATAATTTAACAAAAGTACACATCTTACAACAAAGTACTTTTAAAGCTACAAAAAACAGTTTTCACAGCAGATGTCAAGAAAACTATTCTTTAGTAACAAAAAAATAACGTGAAAAGTCTAATCGTGATTACATTCTGTCACACTGAGTCATTCTTTTTTAAATTGCACAGTCATAGTATCTGGCTGAAGGCACCCTGTAAAGAAACAGTCTGGCACTGTGGAGATATTTGCCTCTTTCAAGCGAGATGATATTTAAACATCTAGATGCAGTTAAAATGTGCTTAATTCGTTTTTCATCAAAGTACAATAATAGCTGGAATGATTTATTAGCTTTTGATACAAAGACAATATTAAAAGAAAGATGAAAACAGGAAAATTGGTCCTTTGGAAGTTGTGTTGCCATAGTTTGAATAATATTTAAAATCTCATTCTTGTGTTGTGCTAGTACAGCACAGTACCATACGATCTGTTCCACATTTACAGGTTGTCTACAATGCCTTCAGCAAGGCAGTGTTGATTTTGGAAATATAGGGGGTTGATTCGCTAATAGGTTTCCTTTGCAAGGAAAGTTGCACTCTGCAAGGGGATTTTGCATTGTGAATGAGCTCAGTGAATGAGGTACAAATCTGTTGATGTCCATCATCCAATCGCATGCAAGAAAATTGGCATGTTTTTTTTTATTTCCTTGAACATAATTGGGTGTTCTTTGTAGAGTGAAATGTCATAATGTTCACTAAGCTCTGGGGAAAATTGCCAAGGTTTTTTTTAAAAATAGACCCCCTATGCGATCTCCTTCTTAGCCCCTCTGTCAGCTTCATCTCTAAGGTAGGTCAAATCTCATTCAACTTTCTTCAAGGGCCCTTATAAAAACAAAATGCATTTGTATATTGCTATACTGCCCACTGCGATACTGCCACACTCCTCTTCTGTGTATTGCCATACTGCCCACTGTCATACCCTCTGCACACCTCCTGTGCACATACTGCCCACTTCCATATCCTCCATACTCCTCCTCTGGACATACTACCCATTTTCATACCCCTCTACACGCCTCGTATGCAAATACTGCACGATGTCATACGCTCAGCACACTTCCTATGTACAGTACATACTGTCCACTGTCATACCCTCTACACACCTTCTATGCACATACTGCCCACTTCCATATCCTCCATACTCCTCCTCTGGACATACTACCCATTTTCATACCCTCTACACACCTCGTATGCAAATACTGCATGATATCATACGCTCAGCACACTTCCTATGTACATACTGCCCACTGTCATACCCTCTGCACACCTCCTGTACACATACTGCCCACTTCCATATCCTCCATACTCCTCCTCTGGACATACTACCCATTTTCATACCCTCTACACGCCTCGTATGCAAATACTGCACGATGTCATACGCTCAGCACACTTCCTATGTACAGTACATACTGTCCACTGTCATACCCTCTACACACCTCCTATGCACATACTGGCCACTTCCATATCCTCCATACTCCACCTCTGGACATACTACCCATTTTCATACCCTCTACACACCTCGTATGCAAATACTGCATGATATCATACGCTCAGCACACTTCCTATGTACATACTGCCCACTGTCATACCCTCTGCACACCTCCTGTACACATACTGCCCACTTCCATATCCTCCATACTCCTCCTCTGGACATACTACCCATTTTCATACCCTCTACACACCTCGTATGCAAATACTGCACAATGTCATTTGCTCAGCACACTTCCTATGTACATACTGCCCACTGTCATACCCTCTACACACCTCCTATGCAAATACTGCACGATGTCATATGCTCAGCACACTTCCTATGTACATACTGCCCACTGTCATACCCTCCATATGCTTCCTTTGCACATTTTGCCCACTGTCAAATCCTCTACGCACCTCCTGTGCACACACTGCCTGCTGTCATACCCTCTGTACTCTTCCACTGTACATAGTACCCACTGTCATACCCTATGCGCTCCTCTTAAGCACATACTGCTCACTGCCATACCCTCCACACTCTTCATCTGCATATTGCCATATTGTCTACTGTCATACCCTCTACACACCTCCTATGCAAATACTGCCAACTGTCATACCCTCTATACACCTCCTATGCACATAATGTCTGCTGTCATACGCTCTACAAACCTCTTATGCACATACTGCCCAGTTATACCCTCTTTACACCTACTATGCACATATTGCCCACTGTCATACCCTCCATACACCTATGCACATACTGCCCACTGTCATACACTCCATACACCTATGCACATACTGCCTACTGTCATACCCTCTATACAGCTCCTATGCACATACTGCCCGCTGTCTACCCTCCATACACCTATGCACATACTGCCCACTGTCATACCCTCCATACACCTATGCACATACTGCCTACTGTCATACCCTCTAAACACCTCCTATGCACATACTGCCCGCTGTCTACCCTCTATACACCTCCTAAGCACATACTGCCCACTGTCATACCCTCTATACACCTCCTATGCAGATACTGCCCACTGTAATACTCTCAACACATCTCCTCTGCACATACTGCCCACTGTCATACCCTCTATATACCTCCTATGCAGATACTGCCCACTGTCATGCCATCTATACACCTCCTATGCAGATACTGCCCACTGTCATGCCATCTATACACCTCCTATGCAGATACTGCCCACTGGCATACCATTTATACACCTCCTATGCACATACTGCCTGCAGTCATACCCTCTACATACTTCCTGTGTACATACTGCTCGCAGTCATACCTTCTATACACCTCCTATGTACATACTGCCCGCAGTCATACCCTCTATACACCTCCTATGTACATACTGCCCGCAGTCATACCCTCTATACACCTCCTATGTACATACTGCCCGCAGTCATACCCTCTACACACTTCCTATGTACATACTGCCCGCAGTCATACCCTCTATACACCTCATATGTACATACTGCCCGCACTCATACCCTCCATACACCTCCTATGTACATACTGCCCGCAGTCATATCCTCTATACACCTCCTTTGTACATACTGCCCGCACTCATACCCTCCATACACCTCCTATGTACATACTGCCCGCACTCATACCCTCTATACACCTCCTTTGTACATACTGCCCGCACTCATACCCTCCATACACCTCCTATGTACATATACTGCCCGCACTCATACCCTCCATACACCTCCTATGTACATACTGCCCGCACTCATACCCTCCATACACCTCCTATGTACATACTGCCCGACCTCATACCCTCCATACACCTCCTATGTACATACTGCCCGCACTCATACCCTCCATACACCTCCTATGTACATACTGCCCGCACTCATACCCTCTATACACCTCCTATGTACATACTGCCCGCAGTCATACCCTCCATACACCTCCTATGTACATACTGCCCGCACTCATACCCTCTATACATCTCATATGTACATACTGCCCGCACTCATACCCTCTATACACCTCCTATGTACATACTGCCCGCAGTCATATGCTCCATACACCTCCTATGTACATACTGCCCGCACTCATACCCTCTATACACCTCCTATGTACATACTGCCCGCACTCATACCCTCTATACACCTCCTATGTACATACTGCCCGCACTCATACCCTCTATACACCTCCTATGTACATACTGCCCACACTCATACCCTCTATACACCTCATATGTACATACTACTGCCCGCACTCATACCCTCTATACACCTCCTATGTACATACTGCCCGCACTCATACCCTCTATACACCTCCTATGTACATACTGCCCGCACTCATACCCTCTATACACCTCCTATGTACATACTGCCCGCAGTCATACGCTCCATACACCTCCTATGTACATACTGCCCGCACTCATACCCTCTATACACCTCCTATGTACATACTGCCCGCAGTCATACCCTCCATACACCTCCTATGTACATACTGCCCGCACTCATACCCTCCATACACCTCCTATGTACATACTGCCCGCAGTCATACCCTCTATACAGAACCTACTGAGTTCTGTGGTTCAACATGTCAGCCAAGCACCGTGCATTTTCAGGAGAACAGGAACGGCAGTCCAGCTCAGGACTTTTTTGGGGAGTCAGAAACTGTTACAAAATCATGTAAGTTTCCAAACCTGTGTGCTAGTCCTGCGACCTGTATACTGTGGCTATTTTTCAGGCCATAAAAAGCTTCTTTATTGCAGAAGCAGTTCTGCTGTCACATCTGTTCAGGGCAGCTTTTCCAGTCTAGACAGGAGCTGATCATGGCACAGCAGGCAGGGGGCGGGCCTGCAGCGAACCCTATGGCCAGCAGGGGGCAGCGGAGAGACGGAAGAGCCGTGTGTTTTGGGAGAAGGAAGTGAAGAGAAAAATAAGAGACAGGAAGAGACGCACACAGGGAGTGCACAGAGCCGGACCTCCAATATTTTACTTCCAGAAAGTTCTACAGGCACTGCACGGACTTCTCTGCTGCCACACATAGACATGACCCACTGAAGAAGTGACTGTGCCCGAGCCAGCACCATGTCTCTGCTCCTTACACTGCTCCTGTACGGTAAGAGACTCGTGTCCATAACCCTCCCCCACCCGGGGCAGCCCTGTGCGCTGTGTTCTTCATGGACTTCCTATGGTGTCTCAGGGTCCCCGAGTGAGAGAGCCATTGTAGACCTTATGTGTGTGCATATTGTCACCTACTTCTAGGAAGTCACGTGATCTGCCATTGCCATCATGGGCCTGATCTATGCCAAGTGTTTCAAAGGGGGGGCCATAGCAACCAGTCCTCTGCCAGGTGCTTTTGTTATGGTGCAGGGCTGACACATGAGTGGTGGGATGTCGTTGCTATGGGCAACAGGGAGCCTCCCTTTAGTATACATTTCCCCCTTGTGGCTCAGTGTTGTATACATGATGAGGCTGGAGTCAGCTGACATTTGTATTTGTTTTATTTATTTCAGGTACTTATATAGCGCCGTCAATTTTCGCAGCGGTTTACATATATATTATACATTCACATCAGTCCCTAACCCTCAAGGGGCGTACAATCTAAGATCCCTAATTACATTCATACATACACATACTAGGGCCAATTCAGACAGGATCCAATTAACCTATCAGCATATCTTTGGAGTGTGGGAGGAAACTGGAGTACCCGGAGGAAACCCATGCAGGCACAGGGAGAACATGCAAACTCCAGGCAGGAGGTGCGATGGCTGGGATTTGAACCAACGACCCTAGTACTGCCAGGCGGGAGTGCTAACCATTTAGCCACTGTGCTGCCCACATATAGCACCATCAATTTACACAGCACTTTACATATATATTGTACATTCACATCAGTCCTAACCCTCAAGGGGCGTACAACCTAAGGTCCCTAACTTACATTCATACATACACATACTAGGGGCAATTTAGTCAGAAGCCAATGAACCTACCAGAATGTTTTTGATGTGTGGGAAGAAATCGGAGTACCCGGAGGAAACCCAAGCAGGCACAGGGAGAACATGTTTTCAGCTGGGTTTGAAGTTATCCACTTATGTTCTGGAAGGTTTTACTCCCTTCATGATCAGGCCATTTTTTTTGCTAGTTGGCACTGTGCTACTTTAATGACAATTATGTGGTCATGCAACACTTTACACATTAAATTTGTCATTTTTCACATGAATAGAGTTTTCTTTTGGTGTATTTGATCACCGTTGTTTTTTTTTATATAAATACGGAAAATTACTGTAAATTTTGAAGAAAAAAAGTTTTACTTTCTGCTATAAAACATATTCAATAAAAAATAAATATTTTAATTAATTTAGGCTAAATGTATTCTGCTACATGTCTTTGGTAAAAAAAAAAATCCCAGTATATTGATTGGTTTGTGTACGAGTTATAGCATCCTCAGATGATGGTGTGTATATATACTGGAATATTATTATTTTTTTTTAATACTAGTAAAGGTGACTATTGGTGACTTATACCAGGAATGTGATAGTGTAGCAAGCAAGCTGACACTTGCAGACGTTGGGGGGGTAACTAAGTGACATCACCAGTGACACTAATACAGTGGTCATTGCTAAAAATATACAATGTAACACTATTAATGACACTAGCTGGGAGAGGGGTTAACATCTAGAGTGATCAAGGGGTTAAATGTGTGCCTAGCAAGTTTTAATGTGGGGCAGGGGGGAGGGGGGGCTGTTGGAATTGTTAACTGTTTGGTGCTTTTAGGCTAGATTCACACTAGCCTGCACTTTACATTCTTGTTGCGGGGGCAGGAATCGCATCAGTACCCACAGCCAAATTGCTCTGCTCTTATGAGACGCAAGGGGCAGCCATTCAGGATGGACTGCCAATCAGCCCACAGCGCGTTGTGGGTAAGGGAACCGCAGGGTCAAAAAGATCATGCAATTTTTATTTATTTTTTTTTCTGCGGATGCGTTTTTAAAAAGGTGCATGCACTGTTTTCTTACGTAAAATGTGGGCACAGCATCCTGTTCAAATGAATGGGCTGCCATGTCCGAGCAAACCCAGGATGCAAGGCATGTGCTAGTGTGAATAAGGCCTCCCTAAGGGATGTATCAGTTTTCTCTGCAGGGAGACAAAAACTGGCACATCTCCTCTGTTAGACAATACAGAGCTCTCTCCTGTCACTTGCTCTGGCGATCGGTGGGTCCTGGACCCAGAGATCGACATGTGCTGGAGCCAGTAACAGCACAGCCAGGTCGGCAGGAGCTTGCCCTTTTCCCACAAAATTTTATATATATATATATATATATATATTTCTGTGCAGTCGGCCCACACTGTAGTAGTAGAACTAAAGTGCGCAGTTGGCAAACGGTTATGAAGCACCTTTTGCTGTTTCGCAACAGAAGATTTTGTAATTACACTTGAATCCTCAGTTTCAGGATCTCCTTTTGCTCTGGTTAATCAGTTACACACTTAAAGTGACACTAAATAATATCCTTATTTTCCAAAATGATCTATATACACCCAAAGCTTCATGGATCTGTGATCAGTTTTTCATGAAATTGTTACTCACGGGGGTTGATTTGCTAAACTGAAAAGTGCGATATCTGGTGCAGCTTTGCACAGAAACCAATCAGCTTCCAGGTTTTATTGTTAAAGCTTAATTAAACAAGCTGCACCAGATTTAGCAGTTTTTCCTGCCACTTTTAACATTCTCCTTGGCCTCCCAAACCTCTACGTTTCCCCCTGACTTCCAAGTGTTTGAAATAATGCAGTGCACGCTATTTGCATTAATGTACACTGCTCTATGCACACTACAAATCCCATAGTCCCTAGTCCATGCTGACAGCGAGCAAGAGAGGGTGGTTACATCCCTACATACAGTGGGACCATAGAGAACAAACGTAGCCACATTCTAACAGGAGGTCGGATCACAGCAACAGAAAAAATTAATTTGGAGAAGGCTGAGAGCAATAAAAGGTACTCTCTTAAGTTAACAGTTTTTGATTGAATACATTTTTCAATGTTTGTTTAGTGGTTTCTGTTTAAAAAAAACAAACAAACAGAAAAACAAAACTTAGTGTCACTTTTTTTTAACTGCTTGAGTGCCAAGTCCTTTTATTTCTTAATCCCCCTTGATGCCTTGGCAATGTCTCAGTTCTTCATTTCATACTATTTAGGTCTCATGCTCACAGGACATTTTCTAAACTCTCCTAGAAGCCTTCCTTCTGGCAGCAAAATAAAAAGCTTGATGTTGTAAAAGTGTGTTTGGGCATTCATTCAGTTCATTGGCCAGAATAAATAATTCATTTCAATGGCCAAAATAAATGAACACTCAAGCTCTAAATGTGGCTAGCATTAGCGCATGTTTAAACATGTTTATCCGTCAAGCATTTTTTCTGCTCAAACTCTGCTGCTCTTGGATGCACCGACAGTGGTGGTTTTTTCCTGCCTCCAAAAGCCTATGTTTGCATGAACACATAGGTAACATGCAGGGGAGTTTAGAAGCAGGAAAAAAAAAAGACCCAGACACCCCTAGAGCAGCTGTAAATCGTCCAGTGTGCATGAGGCCTTAGGCTGGCCATACATTATACAATTTTCTTTAGATATACCAAAAACCATATAATACGAGGTCAAACCTAAACAACACTTTCAGTTGTAGCCAGTTAGGCAGGCCCTTGCACTACATAGTTTAAGAAAAATCTAAAGGAAATTGGGCAGAAAATTGTATAGTGTATGGCCAGCCTAAGTGTTTGTAGTCTACCCTTGCTCACAAGTGAGGTTGGGGTGGTGAGGGTGCAGTTTTAGCAACCTCTAAATGTCTTCCTGAACATTAGCATACAGTTGCTCACAGCTGCGCACATGCTGCAGCAAGACCTAAAGCAGAACTAAACCCTCCTATCCTTTTCTGCCAAGGAAGCTGCCATCTTAGCCTCTGTTTGATCTGCAACTGCCATGGTGCTGCACATGTGATCAGTTATGATACCAGCTATTTGATAGTTTGACGGTTTGGTTTAGAAGACAAGCAAATGTGACAGCTTTCCCAGCATGCCTGGAATGTAACTGTTTTTTTTAAATCGTTAAATGGATGGGTTAGTTCCTCTTTAAACAACATGTCACTTTCAGTGGGCAGTGCCAGCCACAACTAATACAAATCTTTGGGGCTGCACTGGAATGGCAACTGTGCTCAATGCATGTGATTACAGTGCGGTAGTATGGCAATTGTCTGGTTAAATTGGGCAATGAGGAGGCAACATAGTGCCTCCTTGTCTGTCAAACAGCTCTAAAAAGCAATATGAGCATGGTTTGCTTTTTGAGGAGTGGCAGTGCCTGCCACACTTGTGATAGAGCCCTAAGGCTGACCATGCACTTCTGGATTTTCATTCAAATGATTGCATAAATATTGTTCCTCCGAACATTTCATTCAGTGAAACCTTCAGTGACTGTACAAAAACTTTGAAAAACTTTGTTCGATTGTCATGACAGTGGTGCAAATTTCAACATTAGATTTTGGAATAGACAGTGAATGGGAGTCTGAAGGGGAGTCGCACTTCTCAGACAGTTGGCAGTTCCAGCCCAATTCTTGATGCCATTTTCAACAGCATTTGGACAAATAGCCAGTCTCAAGGGACTCTTCAAATTGGTGCTGGTGCAAATGGCTGCTCTCCCCAGTGCCATTTTAAATTGACACCTGGAACTGATATGGGTTAAATCAAATCTTTAATCCATATCTTTTTCTGGAAGTTGAACTTAATGCATGTATAAAAAAAAAACAAATTGTGCATTATTTTCATATTTGTATAGATTTGTAGAACTGTTACTTTGCACAGTGCTGGCCACCTAACATCCCTTTAACTAGTTGCCGACCACAGATAGTTGAATGACGGCTGCACTTCGACCAGCCTGTTCTGGGTGGGTGTCATATGACGTCCTCCCAGAACGTGCTCTCCTGCTTGCTCCCAGCGATCTCTGTGATTGCTGTGTCCTATGGACATAGATGATCATGTGATGTAGTAAATTGCCAATCACAGCGGCCTTTTACCACTTGATCAGCCATGTCCAATGACATGCTGATCACAGGGAAATGCAATTGCTGGTTATCGG